TTTGATCAAGAACTTTATCTTCAATAAGAATTCTCAACATTGATTAGTTTATTTTATTTTTTAGAATTATATATTTATAAGATAATACAATAATATAAAAATTTACATATGGGAGTTAAGTACTTATGGCAAAAGTTACTAAGATGTATTTAATATAGCCCTATTGCTTCTTCTTATTTGAATCTATAACAAATAACCTAAAATTGAATCTATTATTTCGTTATATTTTAGTGTTATTTTACTCAATCGATTTGGAAGAGAATTATCTATATATGAATAATTTTGATAATATTCTAATATTAACACCTAATAGACTAATATAGAGGACAAGTGAAGCGAATTCAATATATGATCTACATATTGCATAAGTTGTATTCTTGATATTTATATAACCTGCTTACCTTAACAGTATCAAAAAGGTAATCCTAAACCTCGCTCTACTTTAACCGACCTGCTAATATAGTAAAAAATCGGTTGAATCGATACCCTGCAATTAGTATTACTGGGTAGATTTTATAAGAAATATATAGAAACAAGCAAATCTTTTATTGAATTTTTAAGTTCAATATCTTGACAGTTATTTTAATTATATTAATTAGTTTCTTATATATCAACTTTTCTGTATATATATAGTAAAAAAGAATAAAGTACGTATCAATTATACTTGTTATGTGTTTATACGTATAATTAAAGTAGTCAGTTATAACTATGTTGTTATAAGTACCTTGGTGAAATTATTAGTAGAGAGACTTCTAGTTATTAGAACAAACCAAGCGAGTAGAAAGACCAGTAAATAACTATTGTATAATAAAGTGTTTAGACAATTATCTAATAAACAAAAGGTATTAGTATTATATTAATAAATTGGGGTTATTTTCTTGAGAAAAAATATAAACAATTACATTTTGAAAGTTATTTTACGATTTTTGTTTGTAGAAACCCTAATAATATTTTAAAAAACATCAAATCTTTTAAGAAACATTAACATTTTAAGAACATTACATTGGCTCTGTTTAGCGATTCAGATATTTTTCAGTAGTGCGGTATATGTATTATATTTGATACATAACAATTCAAAATTTTTTTACTAAACCCAATAAAGCATCTATTTTTCTGAATTAGAGTAAATATAGTATATATGTACTAATTAAAAAAGTCTGAATCACTAAACGGGGCTATTTAAGAAACATTATACTTAAGGAACATTGTATTTAAGAAATATTACATTTAAGAAATATTGCATTTAAGAAATATTGCATTTAAGGAATATTACATTTTAAGAAACATTTTTAAAAAATGGTATAAGATTAATCTTCTACAGTAGTTTTAAAATTTAAAAGCAGTATAAAGTCAAACTCAAAAAACTTTAGCTACAAAATTTCAAATCTTTTTTTTAAACATTTTCGCTAATAAATATTCATTCATATTTTCAAGTTACTTTCTAATCCAGTATGCCACGAGAACTTAGTGAAGATCTAAGATGGAGAGTCATTTATTTGAGTTTAAAAGGTTATAATAATAAAGATATTACTATGCTTTTTTTTATAAATAAAGCTTCTATACATTGAATATTAAGTATTTTTTAAAGTGGGAATGTATCAAAAATCTATTTAAAGGACAACCTGAGCACAAAAAAACCTTTACCTGTGAAGAACTAGGCCTATTAAAACATATCATTAAGAAGAAAGTAGATTTGTATCTTAATAAGCTCATAGTTGAGATAGAAAACTATACACAAAAGCGAGGTTCTATATTGACCATATGGTAATCATTGCAATACTGTAGTATCTCTCGCAAAAAGATAACTAAAATTAATAAAAAAATAGAAATAAAAGCTATTAGATTAGATTAGATTTTAATGTGTATTGACAAGGATCAACGGATCGAAAAGAAAAGTCTAGGTTACATACCACATGCTACAACTTCAATCCTGATTAGGTCAGAGGGCATAGGTCGAGATCAGAAAGCAATCAATTGAACAACAACCATATGAATTTACACACGATACGTAATAAAAAAACCATCACTACAATCAGTATATAAGTAACTAACAAGATAGAATTGCGTCGACACTCTTTTCTCTTCAAAAAATAGTCTCTGGTGATAAAAGTTTTCTTATCTCAACCCTTCTCACTATACACGGTAGTCTTCAGATTCTGCTATTTTCCTATTTAACAGCCGGCTTGCTTCAAGCAAATGGGAAACCACTGGCTAATACTGCCTCTTGCTCGTTCTACTGTTACGGTAGTACCTGATACATTCTCTCTTGCTAATTTTCTAGAAGCATACCATTGTTTCAGTTTGAATTACTTAGCTATTGTATTCTGTGAACTTCAAATCCTTTAATTGAATTTATTTCTGGCACCTTTGGCTTGCTAGCATTCATCCAGTTACTCGACTAGTCATATCTATACTTTTCGACTTTTAAATAATATAATCTGATTAACTTTATTCGGTTATTAATTATTTTTTTAATTAGATATAAAAAATAGCCTCTGAAAGAAATGAATGTTTGCGGAGTGCTTACTTGGCTAATATTGGAGCCAATTATCGTTCAGACCAGTTAATCTTTATAGACGAAACTAAGAAGAATGAATATAGTATTAATAGATATTATAAATATACACCTATTACTACTCGAGCACGAAAGAAGGTTATTTTTATTTGTGGAAAAAAATATACAATTTTATCCACTCTTTTACTGGATAGTTTTTTGGCTATTGATATTATAGAAGGTAGTTGTGACAAAAAGCAGTTTTATGAATTTATTTTATTCCAAGTAGTAAGTCAATTAAATTTTATTGCTATTTAAATATTATGATAATTATTATTATTAAATATATATTTAATAATAGATTTGAATGATGAATCTTTTTTCAGAAAAAAATAGCATTATTGTTCTTGATAATGCAAAGATTCATCAAAATAAAATGCTTGTTAAAATAGTGAAAGAGCTTGGATGTTGTGTAATTTTTTTGCCACCCTATTCTCCTAACTATAATCCTATAGAAATAGTCTTTAGTACTATTAAAAGCTGGATTAAAAAGAATAAAGACTTTATAAGTTCTACGAATGATCCATTTTATGTGCTCATGGCTGTATATGCACAGATTACATCTGAAATAGCAGTAAACTTTTTTTGTGGATCAGGTTATTTAAAATATGGTTATTATTTATAATCATAATATATTAATATTATATATTATTGTATTAGTTGTATTACGTATATATTATATATAAATCTTTTTTATATACAAGCATTTAAGTACGTACTTAAAACGTAACAATTCTGCACAATAATAATTAATTAAGTAACGGGTTTAACCATGATGTAGGCACAAATAGATCGATCGTGGAAGATTTTCGTATGATTGGCTATTTTAATTTTACATTATTTATACAGTTTAAAATACTTTTTAAAACAAATAAAACTACAAAGAATAAACAAAAAAAAGTATATAGAAAGTTTTATAAAAGTTGTAGGACTTCAGTATTGGTTTTAGAGAAGTTAGCATAATAGCAACTTTTTAAAGATAGATAGAATTAGGTTATTACCATGCTAACTTCTTTAAAACCAGAAATGATTTTGATTATTTTTTTTTTCTTTTTTTTAAAAATGTGAATTGGCATACAATTTTGATTATTTTTAATACTGGAGTTCTACAACTTTAATAAAACTTTCTATATACTTCTTTTTTGTTTATTCCTCGTAGTTTTATTTGTTTTAAAAAGTACTTTAAATTGTATAAATAATATAAGCCTAGATAAATAAAAAAATATATTATATTAGTAATACTTCAATTAAAAATTAGTTAATGCGTAAAGGAAAAAATCAATACTTGTTGTGCTCATGTAATATGACCATAATCATCAATCGTATTGTGCATCAGGAAATTAAAAGCATATAAAAATATTATTAGATAATAGTTGTAGTTAATTATAGGTATAAAAAAGAAAAAAATAATAATATTTTAAGTATGTATATGAAAGAAATAATATTCTATGGTATGTATATGAAAGTTTTTTCAAAACTTATATTCTTCTAGTAATGGCTATGAGTTTATTTATTCTTTTTATAACCATTATTTTGATAAAAATTTATTTTATTTCCTTGCCAATCCTATCTATATATAGATAGCAAAGAATAAATCATAATTATACTTACTGTACAAAATTTTGCTTAACCCAACTGTCTAGGATATATATAATTTTTATAAAGAAAGATCAGATATTATAGTACACTTGAGTTGCTAATAACATTTTTATGAAAAGTACAAGATTTATTAATAACATAATATTCGACTTACTATTGGTGATAAAAAAAAAATTTAAGCTCTAAACCTGTCAAATATATATGTACATATATACTACAATACCCAGATCTTCATTATATTAATATTTGTTTTCTGCCTATCTGATATTCTTTCGCTATCCAATTTTGGTAATACCTAATTGAATTAATTCTGAATCACTCAAGTCCTTAATGGTATTTACAGTTATTTTCTCCTGTTCAAATCCTGCTATTAAATCCAAATAACCACCATTTCCATTATGATTTTTGTCTAACTTTTCAAAAAATTCCTGAAGACTTGGAATCGAACCTAAAACTACAGACGATGATTTCAATTGTGATACTTAAATATTAGCTTTACAAGCATTAATTATACCAAATGTTGAGTATAAAGGTGGTGTTTTGATAGTGATAAGTTTATTTTTCTACAAATAAGAATATTTATTGTATATATTAATTAATTTAGAAAACTAATATTTTCATACTCTTGTATATAATATAAATTATACATGTATATATCGATATATACAAAGATAGAATATCAATACTACTAAAAATAGATATGAACATACCAAAAATAGATGCAAAAAATGTTATGTAGTTCCTTTAATACTTACTATATTTTGTATCTACAAGTGTAATTGTGCAAGGTTTAATGCAAGATGTTTATCATCTTCAATATAACAAGGCGTAGCGTATATATTGCATTGATGTTTGGATTTAATTTGCATGATAATATCAGCTAGTTCGATCTTATCAGTAGTAAGTTTAGATTCTTTGGGTGCAAGATTTGATTTTGATTTTTAGTTTTTAACTTTGGTGTATCTTCATCTGAATTACTGGATTCAATTAAATTCTATAAATGTATATATATATTGTTAAAAATATGTACGTAATTATATTATATGTAACTAAATTATAAATATATGTACCTTATTTTTTCTTTTTTTATTATTTTTTTTATTATTTGATAATTTTGGTGCAACATTTAATACTATAGATTTACTTAATTTTTCTAATTTTTTACATTCACTAATAAATATATTATAGTCATCTTTGTTATCTAAAGCTATTGCTTGTTCACGGCCATTAATTTTATAAGAGACTTCAATATTATTTTTATTGAAATCATTATTATCAATGCAATCTTGAATATGTTTAATTAAATTATCTTGAAAAATATCGAAATTGTCTGATTCAATTGTGAACTATTTTGCTAGTATTGGATTGGATTCACTTACTTTAATTATAACCTTAATATTGAATTTTGAATCAAAATTGGAATCTTTCTTTGATGAAACTGAGCCTGTTGAAAAGTCAGAATCATTATTACTAACACTTATAACTGAAGAAATGTCAGTATTTTTAAAACTTTTTTTAGTGCGATTGCTAATACTTGTTTTTTTTAGCATGATTACTAGTACTTTTAGTAGCTGAAGAAATTTCTGTATCTTTAAAGCTTTTTTTAACACGATTATATCACAAATAACATGTTGAACAAAGATTAAAATTAAATGATTGATTAAAATCACAGTTATATGCGAAAAGATGATTAAAATTTTGAAGGAATAGTTTTTGATTTGTTTGGATATTATTAGGATTATAAATTTTATTAAAAACTTGTTAAGGAGGTTTATCGCAAAGTGGTTTTTGGTAAATATTGTATTCGCATAAATCTTGAGTTAGGTTTGCAAAACAAAATAAACACATTTGGCATGAAAAGTATATTCCAATTCTATAAAGTGTTATTTTAGTTTGTTTTTTTTTTTTTTTTACACAGCGATTCATAACCATTAAATATTTATAAAATTCTATCAAAATAGAACTTTATACAGTATATTAGTATTAGTGTTTTGGTATCAATATTCGATGTTATTAAGATGAAACAAACAGAAAAGTTCTTGTTACTAAACAGAATTGCATAACAAAAAAAAACCAACTGAACAAAAATTCGCTACTAAAACTAACTGAGCAAAAATTTGCTACTGTTATTAGACAGAATCATAATGGGTCATATGATAAGACTCTATAACCACTACAGAATTTCTTAAAAATTAGTTGCTTTTGCATGCAGCTTTATTGTAAAAATTTTTATACAACAAAAACAAAATTTAGCTACCGTTACTGGACAGAATTATATAACAAAGAAAAACTAATTAAACAAAAATTTGCTACTAAAACCAACTGAACAAAAATTTGCTACTGTTACTAGAAAGAATCATAACAGATCATATGGGGCCTTTGCTAACAAAATGACCCTCCAAGCTATTGTTACACAAGATTTTAATTAGTAAAATCATAACAAATCTATTTTTAG